GGGGGGACATCCAGCCCCCCGGGGGGTCCCTGCGCAACCTCTGCCGAGGGTCCGGTTCCCTTTTGGCAGTTTCTCCATGTTCTGGCTGCGTCAGAGACCCAGGCAGGGGCTGGAATACTTTGGAGGGATGGACCCTAGTGGTGGCACGCACTACGAGCCGTCAGTGCAGGGCCGGTGCACGATCTCCAGGGAAAACGGGCAGAGCTCGGTGACGCTGACCATGAACAACCTCAAGGTCGAGCATTCCGGATCCTATTTCTGTGCCAAACGTGCAAATAACGGTTGTTGTAGACCAGGTGCTTATAGTGAAGACGCCAGTTTGTGGATCCAGTCCCGTCCCCCTGTTCCCCCCTGTCCCCAATCTCAGACGATTTCCCCAAACCTCCGCCCTTGACCCTTTGTCCCAAATCTCCCCCATTTGCCCCAATGCTCAGCACTGACCCCAAACCCTTCCCTGCTCCTGCCCCAAATCTCAACCATTGGCACCAAACCGTCACCCCTGGGCTCCAGTTCAGGCTACCTCCAATCAGGGCCCAGGGAGATGGGGGAGATTTGGGTGAAATGGACAAAACTGGGATAAGGTCAAAAGTTGTGGCAGAGTTGGTGCACACTGCGGGAGAAGGTCAAGAATGGGGTCAAGGGTTGGGATTTGGGCAAGGATTTGGGGATTTTGGAACATTTGGGGAAACTGGGATGGGGTTTTGGGGCCACCACCAGCATCCTCGCCATGTCCAGAGCTCCCAGAGAGGATTCCAGCCCAGCCCCAAGGAGCAGCACCAGACACCGAGGCCGCTGAGGGAGAAGTGAAGCCCCAGGTGGGAGCGAGGGAGGGAGGGAGGGAGGGAGGGAGGAGAAGACGCCGCGATTTTGGGGCTCCGCAGCCTCCCCCCACTTCCTCCCCGGCGGCTGCCGGGGCCCGGCTGGGGCAGGAAAGGAAACAGAAAGTTCCTGGTTTTGGTCATTGTGACCATCTGTGTTTGGCAGAGGGCAGCTAAACCTTTGGGCGCTGCGGCAGAGGAGGTGCAAGGGTCCCAATTCGGGGCGAAGGTTCAGGATTTGGGTCGAGGGTTGAGCTTTGCCCCATCCCCATCTCCCCTTTGTCCCGCAGGGCTCCGGGCCACCGTGACCCTGCTGGAGTGCAGGGGGGGACATCCAGCCCCCTGGGGGGTCCCTGTGCCTCCTCTGCCGAGGGTCCGGGTTCAGTTTTGGAAGCTACGACATGAACTGGATCCGCCAGAGACCCGGGCAGGGGCTGGAGTGGGTTGTGAGCGTCAGCTACAATGGTGGTTGGACCGGGTATGCGCCATTGTTCAAGGGTCGGTTCACGATCTCCAGGGACAACCGGCAGAGCTCAGTGTCGCTGACCATGAACAACCTCAAGGACGAGGATTCTGGATCCTATTTCTGTGCCAAACGGACTGGTGCTGGTGCTGCTCCTTATGCTGCTGATGTTTGACATTTCGGCCCCATCCCTGTGTCCCCTCCCATCCCCGTTCCCCAGACTCTTCCCCAAACCCCAATCCCTGACCCCATTCCTGTCCCCGTGTCCCAACCCTGCCCTGCTCTGGCCCCAAATCTCATCTCCTGGCCCCACATCTCAGCTCCTGGCCCCAAATCAGGGCCGGTTTCACCCTGAGCTCAGCCTCGGCCCTCCAATCCCAACCATTGCCCCCAGACTTGTCCAGTATTACCCCAAATCTCCCCTGCAGGCACCGAGTCACAGCCACCGACCCAAATTCTGGCCCATTAGCCACACATGGGGAATTTCAGGCCAAAATTTGAATTTTTGACTCCTGACCTTAACTTTGGCCCCAAATTTTGAAAAATTAAAAGTAATTTGAGGAACGAGGGTACTGAGTGTGGCCCAGAGGGGATATTTGGGGCAGAGTCAGAGCAGGGCTGGGACAGAGGGTGAGGAAATGGGGTCAGGGGTTGGGGTATGGGGGAAAGGGCTGGGGAACGGGGACAGGGGGGAATGCAGAGATGGGGACGGGGCCAATAGCATAACCAGGATAAACATTTCCAGATGCAGTGGTTTTGCCACAGAAATATGTGGCGGAATCCTCGTCCTTGAAGTTGTTCATGGTCAGCGCCACCGAGCTCTGCCCGTTGTCCCTGGAGATCGTGAACCGGCCCTTGACCGACGGCGCGTACGAGGTCCCACCTCTGCTGCTGATACTTCCGACCCACTCCAGCCCCTTTCCGGGTCTCTGTCGAACCCAATCCATTTCAACTCCCGAAACTGAACCCTCGGCACAGCAACGTCAGGGACCCCCCGGGGGTCTGGAGGTCCCCCCCGCACTCCAGCAGGGTCACGGCCGCCCGGATCCCTGCGGGACAAAGGGGAGATGGAGATGAGGAACCTGATTGGCTGTGGGCATAAAGTGGGTGTGGCCAACTGGAGAAAGGGAGCTTGACCCACTTGGGAGGGCCAACAGGGCCAGGAGCCAGAGGGAGCTCGAGGCCGTGGCCGGGATGTGCCGGGGAGCGGGTCCCAGAGGCTTTTGGGGGTCGTTACCAAGATGTTATTTCGGCAATTAATGCACAGGTTTCAGGACGAGCTATCCAAGTAATTAATGAGTGGACTGGGGTTATTGAGGCAAACTCCATTATGGAAAATTGTGGCGTAGATTTGGGAGGAAACCAGGGGAGTCTGGTGAAAACCGGTGAAGGTTTGGAGATGGGGCAGGAGCCGTGACCCTCCTGGATTGCGGGGGGGAACTCCAGCCCCCCGGGGGTTCCCTGCGCCTCCTCTGCCGAGGGTTCGGATTCGATTTTGGGAAATTTGCAATGCTCTGGATCCGCCAGAGCCCCGGGCAGGGGCTGCAGTGGGTGGCCGCCATCGATAGCCACAGTGGCACCTACTACGCGCCGTCATTGCGGGGCCGGGTCGCCATCTCCAGGGACAACGGGCAGAGCTCCATGTCTCTGACCATGAACAACCTAAAGGACGAGGATTCCGGATCCTATTTCTGTGCCAAGGAATCCAGCACTAACATTGCTGCTGGTTCCCTTGAATCTATTGATCCATGCCCATCCCCAGGGCCCCACCTGTCCCGGTTCCCCAGGTCCTACCGTCCGACCCTTGACCCCATCCCTGACCCCCACCAACCCAAATCTGGCCCATTTTCCAAAATCTCGAGCATTTGCACCCAGGTTTGGGGACCTTGGCTGAGACTTGTAGCCAGGAGCTGAGGTTTGGGGTCAAGAGCTGAGATTGGGGCAGAGCCAGCTCAGAGCTGGGACACGGGGACAGGAATGGGGTCAGGGGCTGGGGATTGGGGGAAGGGTCTGGGGAACAGGGACTAGGAGGGACAAAGAGATGGGGATGGGGTCAAAAGGATAACCAGCAGCAGCCCAACTACCAGCACCAGCACATTTGGCACAGAAATAGGTGGCGGAATCCTCGTCCTTGAGGTTGTTCATGGTCAGCGTCACCGAGCTCTGCCTGTTGTCCCTGGAGATCCTGACCCGGCCCTTGACCGAATCCGCGTAGCCAGTCCAACCAGCATTGTTGATGATCCCAGCGACGTACTCCAGACCCTGCCCGGGTCTCTGTCGATACCAGCCCATCCCAAAACTGTCGAAACTGAACCCGGACCCTCGGCAGAGAAGGCGCAGGGACCCCCCGGGGGGCTGGAGGTCCCCCCCCGCACTCCAGCAGGATCACGGCCGCCCGGAGTCCTGCGGGACAAAGGGGAGATGGGGATGAGAAACCTGATTGGTCAAGGGCCTTTATGTTGGTGTGGCCAGCTGGAAAAAGGGTGTGACCCACCTGGGAGGAGGATGATGAATGCCAATGGTCCCAATTTGGGGCCAAGAGTCAGGATTTGGGTCAAGGGTTGAGCTTTGGCCTCATCCCCATTGGTGACTTCTTCCTGACCCTCACTGTTGGAAACGTTTGGATCCCCCTGTACCCTATTAAAAGGGGCTGGTTTATCCCATCTGACAGGAGAAGAGCGGTTGCTGGAACCCCTCACAGATCCCTCAATGAACCATGGCTATGGAAACACCAGGACCTCTGCTGCTCATCTCTGTCCGTCTGTTTCTGCCACAGCCAAAGGCGCCCCAGCGAGTGAGCAAAGAGCTGAGATCCTGAGAGCTGAGAATCACGAAAGAGCTGAAATCTTGAGAGAGTTGATAATCACGAAAGAGCAGAAATCACTAAATAGCTGAAATCCTGAGGGAGCTGAGAATCATTAAAGAGCTGAAATCACTGAGCTTGCTGAGATGGTGGCATCTCTGAGCTGATTGGGTGATGGGGCTCTCTGTCTCCAAGTTTTATCCAGATTGGCCCGCAAGGCTCGGGGATCAGCCCAAATCAGATATCTGGGTCTTATCAGGGTTGGGACATGGGGACAGGAACGGGGTCAGGGCTTGGGGTTTGGGGGAAGGGCCTGGGGAAGGGGACAGGAGGGGAGCAAGGGCACAGGGACGGGGACAAAATGATAAGCATCAGCATAAGCACAATTATCACCATAAGCACGTTTGGCACAGAAATAAACGGCGGAATCCTCATCCTTGAGGTTGTTCATGGTCAGCGTCACCGAGCTCTGCCCGTTGTCCCTGGAGATCGTGAACCGGCCCTGCACCGAGGGCACGTAGTAAGTGTAAGCACCATCGTACTTGATCCCCGCGACCCATTCCAGCCCCTGCCCGGGTCTCTGTCGAGCCCATTCCATTTCAAAACTGCCGAAACTGAACCCGGACCCTCGACAGAGGAGGCGCAGGGACCCCCCGGGGGGCTGGAGGTCCCCCCCGCACTCCAGCAGGGTCACGGCCGCCCGGAGTCCTGTGGGACAAAGGGGAGATGATGGGGATGAGAAACCTGATTTGTCAAGGGCCCCTAAGTTGGTGTGGCCAGCTGGACAAAGGGGTGGAATCCATCAATGAGGAGGATGATGAACTCTAAAGATCCCAGTTTGGTGCCAAGAGTCAGGATTTGGGTCAAGGGTTGAGCTTTGGCCTCATCCCCATCTCCCCTTTGTCCCGCAGGGCTCCGGGCGGCCGTGACCCTGCTGGAGTGCGGGGGGGACCTTCAGCCCCCCGGGGGTTCCCTGACATTGCTGTGCCGAGGGTCCGGGTTCAGTTTTGGGAGTTATGGAATGTACTGGATCCGCCAGAGACCTGGGCAGGGCTTGGAATACGTCGCAGGCATCTACAACACTGGTGGCACCACCTACTACAATCCATCGGTCAAGGGCCGGTTGAGGATCTTCAGGGACAACGGGCAGAGCTCGGTGACGCTGACCATGAACAACCTCAAGGACGAGGATTCCGCCACCTATTTCTGTGCCAAGAATGCTGGTGCTGGTTGGGCTGAAAGTGCTCATCGTATTGACGATGGCCTTGCTGTCCCCATCCCCATCCCCGTGTCCCCCCCTGTCCCCGTTGCCCAGATCCTTCCCCCAAACCCCCAGCCCACACCCAGCCCTTGACCATTGATCCCAACCTTGCTCTGCCTCGGCCCCAGTTCTCACCCGCTGACCCCAAACCACAACTCCTGACCCCAAATCTCCTCTTTCTGCCCCAAAACATTGTTATAAAAGTGGATACTTCAAGCCAAGGGTTAAGTTTTGGGTCAAATTTGTGGCAATGTGAAGAGAGCGGATTTTGGGCCGAACCACTCCAAGACTGGGACATGGGGACAGGAATGGGGTCCAGGCTTGGAGTATTGGGGGAGGGTCCAGAGAATGGAGATAGGTGGGGACCAGGGAATAGGAACAGGGCCAAATGCAACCGAAACATGAGAGTGAACAATACCTGCAGCAGCGTTCCAACCAGCACTACCACCAACACTTCTGCCACAGAAATAGGATCCGGAATCCTCATCCTTGAGGTTGTTCATGGTCAGCGTCACCGAGCTCTGCCCGTTGTCCCTGGAGATCGTGAACCGGCCCTTGACTGAATCCGCGTACCTGGTGCTGCCACCATCGTTCCTGATACTCGTGAGCCACTCCAACCCCTGCCGGGGTCTCTGGCGCTACCAGCTCATGTGGAAACTGCCGAAACTGAACCCGGACCCTTGGCACAGCAACGTCAGGGACTCCCCCAGGGGCTGGAGGTCCCCCCCGCACTCCAGCAAGGTCACGGCCGCCCGGAGCCCCACAGGACAAAGGGGAGATGGGGATGAGAATCCTGATTGGTTCAGCGCCGAAAAGCGGGTGTGGCAAACTGGAAAAAGGGATGAAACGCACCTTGGAAGAGGATGATGAACTCCAAGGGTCCCAATTTGGGGCCACGAGTCAGGATTTTGGTCAAGGGTTGAGCTTTGGCCTCATCCCCATCTCCCCTTTGTCCCGCAGGGCTCCAGGCGGCCGTGACCCTGCTGGAGTGCGGGGGGCACTTCCAGCCCCCCGGGGGGTCCCTGCGCCTACTCTGCTGAGGGTCCGGGTTCAGTTTCGGCAGTGTCTCCATGCACTGGGTGCGCCAGAGACCCGGGCAGGGTCTGGAGTGGCTCGCAGGGATCTACAGCAGTGGCAGCACCTACTATGCGGATTCAGTCAAGGGCCGGTTCACGATCTCCGGGGACAAAGGGCAGAGCTCGGTGACGCTGACCGTGAACGACCTCAAGGACGAGGATTCTGGATCCTTTTTCTGTGCCAAAAATATTGATAATAATTTTTGCAGTGCTGGTGCTCCTCTTGATCCATCTGATCCCATCATCGGGTCCCCATCCGTCCCCATTTCCCAGAGTCTTCCTCCATTCCTGTCCCCCTGTCCCAGCTCTGAACTGGCTCTGCCCCAATCTCAGCTCTTGCCACCAAATCTCAGCTCTTGGCTCCCATGCTCAATGAAGGTCCCCAAACCTGGGTGCACATGGTCGAGATTTGGTAAAAATGGGCCTGATTTTGTTCCGTGGCTGTGACTCAGTTCCACCACTGCAATTTTGGGACAGAACGGGTCCAGTTGGGCAAAAATCATTGGGATTGGATGGACGAGGGTGAGCTCAGGGTGAAACCGGCCCTGATTTGGAGCCAGAGCTGAGATCAGGGCCAGAGCAGGGCATGCTTGGGACAAAGGGTCAGGAATGTGGTCAGAGGTTGGAGGGAAGGGTCTGGGGCAAGGGGACAAGGACGAAGCTGAAAGGACAACCAGCAGCAGCATTCCAACCACCAGTGCGTGGTTCTTTGGCACAGAAATAGGTGGCAGAATCCTCGTCATTGAGGTTGTTCATGGTCAGCGTCACCGAGCTCTGCCCGTTGTCCGTGGAGATCCTGACGCGATCCTTGAACGATGGCGCGAGGTTGGTGCCGGAACCATCGCTCCTGATGCTCCGGACCCACTCCAGCCCCTGCTCGGGTCTCTGTCGGACCCATGGCAGGGCAACACTTCCGAAACTGAACCTGGACCCTCAACAGAGGAGGCGCAGGGACCCCCGGGGGGCTGGAGGTCCCCCCCGCACTCCAGCAGGTTCATGGCCATTCCCACATGCCCAAACCTTCACTGGTTTTGCCCCAAATTCCCTTTGTCTTGCCCCAAATCTCCCACAGATATTTCCAGTATTGTAAAGTTTCTTCAGCCCTGCAATTAGCTCCGATCCACCCATTAATAACTTGGACAGCTCTGCCTGAGTTTTGCATCTCCTCATCCCCATCTCCCCTTTTTCCCGCAGGGCTCCGGGCGGCCGTGACCCTGCTGGAGTGCTTGGGGCACCTCCAGCCCCCCAGGGGGTTTCCTGCGCCTCCTCTGCCGCGGGTCCAGGTTCAGTTTTGGCAGTTTTGGGATGCAGTGGTTGCGCCAGAGACCTCGGCAGGGGCTGGAGTGGCTCGCGGGTATCAGGAACGATGGTCCTTACAACGACTACGCGCCGTCGGTCAAGGGACGGTTCACGATCTCCAGGGACAACGGCAGAGCTTGGTGACGCTGACCATGAACAACCTCAAGGACGAGGATTCCGGATCCTATTTCTGTGCCAAATGTCAAAGCACTGGCTGTAGTAATGGTGCTTATGCTTATGGTGTTGATGGTGGTTGTGGTCCCAAGCCCTTTTTTCTGTGTTCCCAAGTATCACAGAATTCTCTGATCCTTCCCCAAAATCCTGGCTCTTTTTCTCACATCTCAGATATTTTCCCCTAAACTCCACCGTCAGTTCCCCAATTCCCAAATTTCCCCCAATTTTCCCCATTTCTCCCCAGTCTGGCCCTTCCCCTCCGTCCCAGTGCGGAACGGGGATTGCTCCAGGGCCCTTTGCACACAAAGCTTTTTGTGCAGCCGGCGCTCTGCCGCAGCGCCCCAAGGCTGAGCTGCCCTCTGCCAAACACAGATGTTCACAATGACCAAAACCAGGAACTTTCTGTTTCCTTTCCCGCCCCGGCCGGGCCCCGGCAGCTGCTGGGGAGGAAGTGGGGGGAGGCTGCAGAGCCCCAAAATCGTGGCGTCTTCTCCTCCCTCCCACCCGCGCTCGCTCCCACCTGGGGCTTTACTGCTCCCTCAGCGGCCTCCGTTTCTGGGGCTGCTCCTTGGGGCTGGGCTGGAATCCTCTCTGGGAGCTCTGGACATGGTGACAATGCTGGTGGTGGCACCAAACCCCCATCCCTGTTTCCCCAAATGTTCCAAAATCCCCAAATCCTTCCCCAAATCCCAAACCTTGACCCCATTCTTGACCTTCCTCCGCAGTCTCCACCATCTTTGCCCCAACTTTCGACTTTCCCCCAATTTTGCCCATTTCACCCAAATCTCCCCCAGTTCCCATGCCCTGATTGGAGGAGGCCTGAACTGGAGGCCAGGGGTGAAGGTTTTGGGCCAATGGTTGAGTTTTGGGGCAGGAGCAGTGGAGGGTTTGGGGTCAGTGCTGACCATTGGGGCAAATGGGGGAGATTTGGGACCAAGGGTCAAGGGCTGAGGTTTGGGGGGAGGATCTGGGTTTGGGGACAGGGGGGGAACTCTAAGATGGGGACTCAGAAATAAACACTGTGACAACATCACCACAACCAATATCGTCACCAGCAGCAGGAACACAACAATCATCCCAATTTTTGGCACAGAAATAAACAGCAGAATCCGCGACCTTGAGGTTGGCCATGGTCAGCGTCATCAGACTCTGCCCGTTGTCCCTGGCGATCATGAACCGGCCCTTGACCGAATCCGTGTACCAGGTGCTGCCACCGCTGCGGATGTAGGCGACGAATTCCAGCCCCTGCCCGGGTCTCTGACGGACCCATTGTAGGGCAAAACTCCTGAAACTGAACCCGGACCCTCAGCAAAGCAACGTCAGGGACCCCCCGGGGAGCTGGAGGTCCCCCCCGCACTCCAATAGGGTCACGGCCGCCCGGAGCCCATCCCCAAATCTTCACCAATTTCACTCATATCTTCACTGGTTTGGTCCCAAGTCTCCACCAGATTTTTCGGGTATCCTGAGGTCCCTCAAACCCTGCAAGTTAACTCAATATTCTCATTAATAGTTCGACACCTTTTCCTGAGTGTTCCACATTGATTTCAAAAGTAATAGCTTATTAACAACCCCCAAACCCCCTGGGACCCCAACCCACAAAGCCCCTGGGTACAACCCGGCCTTGGCCTCGAGCTCCCTCCGGTTCCTGTTTGGGGAGTGCGGGGGGGACCTCCAGCCCCCCGGGGGGTCCCTGCGCCTCCTCTGCCGAGGGTCCGGGTTCGATTTTGGGAATTTTGCCATGGCCTGGATCCGTCAGAAACCCGGGCTGGGGCTGGAGCCAGTCACGAGTATCAGCAAAGGTGGCAGCACCTACTACGCGCCATCGGTCAAGGGCCGGTTCAGGATCTCCAGGGACAACGGGCAGAGCTCCGTGACGCTGACCATGACCAACCTCAAGGACGAGGATTCCGGATCCTATTTCTGTGCCAAATCTTCTGGTATTATCACTGCTCTTACTGCTATTATTGTTGTTTGGTTTACTGTTTGCGGTTCTCACCCCGTCCCTGTCCCCAGCTGTCCCCAGACCCTTCCCCAAACCCCCCTGTCCCACCCCTGACCCTTTGTCCAAGCCCTGCCCCCTTTGCCCCAACGCTGCCCATTGGCCCAAAACCTTGCCCTGGGTCTGGCCCATAACTCAACTCTCGGCCCCAAATCTCCCCCTCGTGCCCCAAAAGCACCCAAAGGGTCGAGATTTGGGGGCAGCGAGTGAGGTTTGGGCCAGCGGCTGCGGCTGGGAGCCCAGAGTGGGAATTTGGGGCAGAATCGGGCGAGTTTTGGGGCCAAAGTAGAAGGGTTTAGGGCAGAACCAGTTTGGGGGTTTGGGGCAGAACCAGTGTTTTGGGGTTTGGGGCAGAACCAGTTTGGGGATTTTGGCTCAGTGCTTGGTTTTGGACTGGGCCATGGTTCTGGGCAAACTGTCCAAGGCTGAGGATGAGAAGGCTGAGATTTGGGAAAAATGATAAGAACAGAGGGAGAAGTCCAGAGTTGGGGCAGCAATGGCAGAATTTTGGGGAAAAGGACGGAGATTTGGGGAAAAGGGCTGGGATTTAGGGAGGGATCAGAGAATTCTGTGATACTTGGGCACAGAGAGGAGAGGGCCTTGGACCACAGCCACCATCACCATGGTCACCAAAAGCAGCAGCATCATAATCACAACTACTGCTGGAAGATTTGGCACAGAAAGAGGATCCGGAATCCTCGTCCTTGAGGTTGTTCATGGTCAGCGTCACCGAGCTCTGCCCGTTGTCCGTGGAGATCGTGAACCGACCCTTGACCGATGGCGCATAGATGGTGCTGGAACCATCGCTCCTGATCCACGCAACGAATTCCAGTGCCTGCCCGGGTCTCTGGTGGATCCAGAACATGGCAACACTCCCGAAATTGAACCCAGCCCCTCGGCAGAGGAGGCGCAGGGACCCCCCGGGGGGCTGGAGGTCCCCCCCGAACTGCAGCAGGGTCACGGCCGCCCGGAGCCCTGCGGGACAAAGGGGAGATGGGGATGAGGCCAAAGCTCAACCCTTGACCCCAAAATCCCAACTATTGGCCCCAGGTTGTGACAATTTGTTCTTCTCCTCCTGCTCCTGGTCACCCTCCCAGCTGGGTCTCATCCCTTTTTCCAGCTGGCCACACCCACTGCAGGCCCACAGCCAATCAGGTTTCTCATCCCCATCTCCCCTTTGTCCGGCAGGGCTCCGGGCGGCCGTGACCCTGCTGCAGTGCGGGGGGCACCACCAGCCCCCCGGGGGGTCCCTGACGTTGCTGTGCCGCGCATCTGGGTTTGCTTTCGGGAATTTTGAAATGATCTGGATCCGTCAGGGACCCGGGCAGACACTGGAATACATCGCCAGCATCAGCAGCCGTGGTGGCGGCACCGGCTACGCGCCGTCGGTCAAAGGCCGGTTCACGATCTCCAGGGACAACGGTCAGAGCTCGGTGACGCTGACCATGAACAACCTCAAGGACGAGGATTCCGCCGTTTATTTCTTCACCAAACGTGCTAGTAGTAGTTATGGTGCTCATGTTGCTGCTTTTAGTGACAATTCCGGCAGTGGCCCCAGCTCTAGGATGGTCACCAGATGTCTCCACTCCCAGTGATCCTTCCTCCAGAGCCCAGCTTTTCTCCTCAAGTGTTAAAGAGTTTCCCCCAAAATCCCCCCCTGCTGCCTCAACTGTCTACTTTCCCCCAGTTTTGCCCATTTCACCCAAATCTCCCCCAGCTCCCTGGGCCCTGATTGGAGGAGGCCTGAACTGGAGGCCAGGGGTGAAGGTTTGGGGCCAATGGCTGAGTTTTGGGGCAGGAGCTGGGGAGGGTTTGGGGTCAGTGCTGATCATTGGGGCAAATGGGGACAAAGGGTCAAGGGCTGGGTCAATGGGTGAGGTTTGGGAGAGTGGTCTGATGGTTGGGGACATCTGGGGACCGAACAAAAAAGGCCGGCCTAAAGGCAGCACCAATACCATTAGCTTCGTAATTACAACCAGCAAAATAACATGTCGCGCAGAAATAGATGGCAGAATCCTCATCCTTGAGGTTGTTCATAGTCAGCGTCACCGAGCTCTGCCCGTTGTCCCTGGAGATCGTGAACCGGCCCTGCACTCACGGCGCATAGTAGGGATAAGCAGCAGTGCTGATCCCCGCGAGCCACTCCAGCCCCTGCCTGGGTCTCTGTCAGACTCAGAGCAGGTCAGAACTGCCGAAACTGAACCCGGACCCTCGGCACAGCAGCGTCAGGGATCCCCCGGGGGGCTGGAGTTCCCCCCTGCATTCCAGCAGGGTCACGGCCGCCCGGAGCCCTGCGGGACAAAGGAGAGAAGGGGATGAGGGCAAAGCTCAACCCTTGACCCCAAAGTCCCAACTATTGGCCCCAGGTTGTGACAATTTGTTTTTCTCCTCCTGCTCCTGGTCACCCTCCCAGGTGGGTCCTGTTCCTTTCTCCAGCTGGCCACACCTACTTTGGGCCCTCAGCCAATCAGGTTTCTCATCCCCATCTCCTCTTTGTTTGGCAAGGCTCCGGGTGGCCATGACCCTGCTGGAGTGTGGGGGGGAACTCCAGCCCCCCAGGGGGGTCCCTGCGCCTCCTCTGCCGAGGGTCCGGGTTCTATTTCGGGAGTTACCCATAGAGCGGGGTGCACCAGAGACCCGGACAGGGGCTGGAGTGGCTCGCAGGCATCTACAGCGATGGTTCCTACATCTACTACGCGCCATCGGTCAAGGGTCGGTTCACGATCTCCAGGGACAACAGGCAGAGCTCGGTAACGCTGACCATGAACAACCTCAAGGACGAAGATTACGCCACCTATTTCTGTGCCAAGGGTTTTGCTGGTTATGCTGGTGATAACAATGCCAGCTGTATTGACCCCACCCAATCACTGCATCTCCACCTGTCCCCATTCCCCAGACCCTTCCCCAGCTCCCAGCCCCTGACCCGGCCCGTGACCATTTTTCCATTTCCCTTTCCCCTCTCCGGCCCCAAACCCCAACCCTTGGCCATTGATCTTCCCCCAAACTCTGCCCCAAAGGTCAGCGCTGGGCCCGGGGCTGTGGACACGAATTCAGTCACCGAGAGCGGGGACAAGCCCAGGGATTTGGGGGAGGGTCTGGGGTTTGGGGACAATTAGGGATGCAAAAAAGGAGGCGGGGCTAAATGCTCCATAACCAGCACCAGCAGCGTCACTACGATCAGCAACAACAGCATTATAACTCTCAGGAGTTTTGGCATAGAAATAGGGTCCAGAATCCTCGTCCTTGTGGTTATTCATGGTCAGCGTCACCGAGCTCTGCCCATTGTCCCTGGAAATGCTGAACCGGCCGCGGAACGATGACGGGTATCTGCTGTCTCCATCATAGTCAATCCCTACAATGTATTCCAGGCCCTGCCCAGGCCACTGGCGGATCCACATCAGACTGGATCGTCCGAAACTGAGCCTGGCCCCTTGGCATAGGAGGCGCAGGGACCCCCCGGGGGGCTGGAGTTGCCCCCCACCCTCCAGCAGGGTCACGGCTGCCCGGAGCCCTGCGGGACAAAGGGGAGATGATGGAAATCAAAACTCTGATTGGTCAAGGGCCCCCAAGTGGGTGTGGCCAGCTGGACAATGGGGTGGAATCCTCCTGGGAGGATGATGAACTCTAAAGATCCCAATTTGGGGCCAAGGGCCAAGATTTGGGTCAAGGGTTGAGCTTTGTCCTCATCCCCATCTCCCCTTTGTCCCGCAGGGCTCCGGGCGGCCGTGACCCTGCTGGAGTGCGGGGGGGACCACCAGCCCCCCGGGGGGTCCCTGCGCCTCCTCTGCCGAGGGTCTGGGTTCAGTTTTGGGAGCTACGACATGTACTGGATCCGCCAGAGACCCGGGCAGGGGATGGAATGGGTTGCGAGTATCAGCTACAATGGTGGTTGGACCGGGTACGCGCCATCGGTGCAGGGCAGGTTCAGGATCTCCAGGGACAACGGGCAGAGCTCGGTGACACTGACCATGAACAACCTCAAGGACGAGGATTCCGCAGTTTATTTCTGTGGCAAAGATGTTGATGATCGTGATGGTTGGGAGAATGTTGCCTGTCGTTTTTTTTGCCTCATCCCCATCGCTGTTTCCCCCATGTCCCCGTTCCCCAGACCCTTCCCCAATCCCCAGCCTCTGACCCCATTCCTGTCCCGTGTCCCAGCTCTGAAGTCGTTCTTCCCCAGTCTCAGCTCTTGGCCCCAAACCTCAGCTCTGGGCTCCACGTCCCAACCAAATTCCCCAAAATTGACGAGGATGTCCCAGATCCGGCTCCACCGTGT